TAATGTGGCCCTGTGCTCATCAGTCCTGGGGGGAGGGGGGGGGGGATGCACAGGGCCTTGGAGAAGATGAATTAAGGCAGGACAAATAACACGCCCAACAACAGAAGCTGCAAGGAGGGCGCCTCTCCAATCGAGCAGAACCACCCCTATGACTACTGGCAGGTTTTTATGTATGCTTTCCAAAGGCATTTGTCAAGCTAACAGTGACGTGTCCGTCCTGCAAGTCTTCTTTTGTTTACCTATTGCGGCTAATATCAAAACCTTAACATGACTGCGGTGTTTTGTAATCACTCGCATTTGAGTCCTTCACACACAACAGAAGGTGCTTATGATCCCAAACTTAGATTTCCTGAAACAATGCTGGATTTAAGTCTGCTTTTGAGTTTGGGGGGCGGGGGGAGAATGCTGACTACTTTGATTTTTTTTTTTTTTTTTTTGACAACCATCCAAAACAACCTTTACCGTAAGTCCGGGTTTTTTTTCAAGGTGCAGTCCCCTCGGTGAACATAAAATTGTTATTGCTGTGATTGCTGTGGTAGTGTTTGTGTGTGCTAGTGTTCACCTGGGCATAAAAAGAGAGTTGTGAAATACTTTGAATCTGGTTCAATGATTTGAAGGCACATTTAAATGTAGTCCTAAAAATAAATTTCGATTTCAAAGCAATTTCATTAATTAGTTACATCCATCCATTTTCTAACCTTGCCTGTCCTCACAAGGGTCATGGGCGTGCTGGAGACCCTGAACGGGTTGCCAGCCAATCGCGGGGCATACATAGACGAACAACCATTCACTCACAATCACACTTGGGGACAATTTAGTGTGTTCTATTAACCTGCCACGCATGGTTTTGGAATGTGGGAGGAAACCGGAATACCCGGAGAAAACCCACTTAGGCCCGGAGAGAACATGCAAACTCCACATAGGGAGGCTGGAGATGGAATTGAACCCGGTATCTCTGCACTGTGAGGCGGACGTGCTAACCAGCTGGTCACTGTGCCGCCCCTAATTAGTTACATTTCAAGTTAATTTTCAAGTTTTGTTTTTTTTTTTTTTTTTTTACAAAATTGTTCCAACTTTGAATTATTTGTCATCAAAATGTTGAACCACTGCATACCATGTAGAGTGCTGCTTTTCTTATTAATGTCCAAACATTGAGCCCGATTGAAGTTTTGCAATTCAAAGTTCTTTGGAATTATTGCTTTGGGTTTTGTACCATTCGGTTTGAACCAGACTTTTTGGAACGGATTTATGGTGAAAACCAAGGTGCCACTGTCTGTCCTCGAGAAGCTGCAAGCGTCCCACCTCAACAACCTTGCGAACAACATTCCCAGACAACCTGCTTTTTGACTCGTCCATTTTGGCTCGAGCTTTGAGAGTGTTCTGGCGAGTTTCTGCGGCACCTCCTTATGATAGAGTGTCAATCGGTGTGTGCTCAGGAGGCCACGCTGAGGAAAACTTGCGAGCAAAGTCAGCTGCTGGAAGATGTTTGTTCTTAATCCCACTGCAGTCGGTCACTCATCATGCCGACTCTTGAGCACACTTCAAAGCTGCGCACTAGCGTCGGGGCTTTCTCAGCCCATGCTTTGGCCGTCACCTTCAAAAGTTTGCTAGTGGCTCCTTCTTCACAGTGCAATCTGTTTTGTTCCAGCCAAGGAGATTATACCTAGCATCTTGGGATTGTTCTTCCCCCCTGTATGTGAGGTTATCCGCATCCTTACTCTTATACAATATGAGCTCTAAGAGTCCAAGGCGACTTGTGTAAGCGTCCGCTCATTAAGTAGTTTGACCCCAGGTACATGCAGTTAATGGATCTGATCTGTTATCGGACGCGCCGCGAGACCTGTTGCCGGCGCAAAACATCTCACTGGGGGTGAATCGTCACGTCACTCCATTTAGCCGTGCTCCCCAGAAGCTGACGTCCTTCTGCTCGCGTCCTCTGTGTCTGCTTGCTGCGCATCAGCTCTGACTTCTAAATTACACCTAACTGCTGTCAATACGGGTAAAGTGAGAAACGCCTGGGCCAAGATGGATAATTGGCTTTGCTCCGTGTGCGCCAAGGCTTCCAACCGCAAGCCACAGACGGTTTATGACTCCAAATGGTGACACCGGTTGAGCTCCTAAGCAGCAGAAAAGTACACAATGCAATTTTCTGTGATCACCTACACGTGTTTGAGTGGTGTGAATGTCATATCTGCACTACAAAGTGAAGTCTGGAAACTATAAGCGAAGTAGATCCTCTTTTTTTTTTTTTTTTTACCGGTAATGTATATGTATGAAAATGAATCCTACAACCGGACCGAGACCCACTTTTTGATATGTTCTTGGGGTGTGATTCGCTTCAAGTGTGAATACTGTACAAACCACCGCCAGTCCGCCCCAATGACAGGATACATGCACCTTTTTGGGCTTAACAAGACACCGTAGCCTGGCATCACGAAAACTATTCCGCATTTTGTCTGCACCAAAACTTGATTTTTTATTTTTTTATTTTTTTTTAATTCTGTGTATGATTGTGCTGCACTGTTGCAAACCAAATTGCCCCCCTGGGGACAGTGAAGCTGTTGTTGTGCCGAATGAAATATGGCCTGACCTTCTGACATGCAAAGGGTGACGCTTGCTGTTATTATACTTGCTGTGTATCACAACAAATTGTATTTTGGAGTATAAATAAGTAAAATCCGCTCATGTCAGAGATAATGGTGCTAATTGAGGATAATGGCGGTAATGGTGTGCTCAGCAATTTGCTTGTTTTCAATCGAACAAACCAAGATGGAAAACTGTGCTCAAAATACTCCTGCAAACCTGGCCTCAATGTCCTGACTTTTATCAACCACTCAACCTTTTGCGAACCATTCCCGCCACATATGAGCCCATGCAAGAGCAGATTTATGTTCACTCAATACGACCAGTAAGCCGCGCCGCCTCTTGTCGATGCGGCCGCAGCAGCCACGGTGGCGGAGCGGCATGTTTGACGACCACCCTCTGGGCGAACCTGGCTTTATCCGTGAAGGGAATGATCATCTTCATGCTGTGTGCCTGGAAAAACAAGCTTGGCTGGCAACCACCAAATAGGCTTCATTGAGTTGCCATATTGGCTGATCACACCTCTAGCAAAGCGAACATACAAGGCACCGGCCTTTTAGGCTGCGAGCAATCAATAGTGGAATACTCAGCTCGCAGGCTGCCATGAATAGGCCTCAAATTGTGGATTCGATGTGGAGCAAAAGAGCAGGTGTTGATGGAGATACATCAGGCAGTACCCATCACTTAAATCAGCACTCCACATGCTCAAGAACAATTAAGTTTGCAAGGCAGCCGGCAACTTGCGCTCTGGGCCAATTGCTCTTCACATAAAAAAAAAAATGGTTGTTTATTTAACATTGAAGGATTAGCTCTTTGCTTGCGCTTTGTGGGATTATTGAGTGCCTCTAAACACACCCGTCACTTGCGCAGCGTGCGGATGCGCTTGTTTTACACCACTCCCTCAGACCCCACTTGGTCATGTCATCGGGCTATTTACTTGGGCCCGCATGAAGCCGCTCCTTTTAAGAGCGTCAATATAATAGTGCGGTTGCAAGAGCCAAGAGTGCGGTTAGGGGAGATGAATGTATGCTCTGCGCAATTACGCCAATGAAATACAATTCGTTTAGCAAAGTTGTAAAAGCTCACACTGGACCATCAATACGTTTTTGTCAATAGTGACTTATATGTCTGGAAGATTTGAACAGCTGACACATATGGGTTGCCTATTTGTAGACTCATTTAAGGTTACGCTTTTTATTATGGCTTTGATGTGTTATATACAGTAACTAAGAGGAGTGGAAAATAAGCAGTCACCCGCCTTTGCAGCTATCACAGCTTCAGCACTTCTGAGAAGACTTTCTACAAAATGTTGCAGCGGGTCTTTGGAAAGTTCAGTGACGTTGGAACAGAGAGACGGCCTGGCTCGCTGTCTCTGTTCTGGTACATCCCAAAGGTGTTTGATGGCATCCGTACCATACTTCTCCGGGCCTGGACCTCACTTTGTGCACTGGGAACAGAAAAAAGCCATTCCCAAACTGTTCTCATCCAAGTTGGAAGCTTAGAATTGTCTTACTAAGATGTGGAATCAAAGGGATTGTTTGCAGTTTTAAAAACCACAAGCAAGATTTGAATGTAGCTTCACTCGCTTCACTAATTCCACCCAAACTCTCCAAAACCTTGAATCCGACCAAAACAGCTGCCTTCACTAACATTCATAATGGCATGCAATTATGAAAGGCACCGTTGTGATAAATAGTCATCGACAATGCTGTCCAGCTTAAAAAAAAGTAGGAGCAGTAGCTATACTACGCTAGCATTAGCACTGTCAACAAACTATGTTAGCCACAGCTGCTACGTTGGTAACCTGACTTATTTGTGTGACCATAACAATAAATGTATCATTTTGAAGTCCTATATTTTTGGAATGTACAATCAACTAAAATCAAAAAGAAATGATAAATGCACCTTTTGAGCAAAAATGTTGCTAAATTCATTTGGCTCCTGCCTGAGGTCCTTTCACATAGCTTCTGTTTTCTAGTGTTATGTCCAGTTGTTAGCAAACAAGGAATGGGCCTTTTTTCCCCCAGCGGTGGATATTCCAAAATAGAGTCAGGAAAGCTCTTGCGGCGCAAGCTAACAGGTCAATGTCAGTGTGTGGGTTTAGAGAATCTCATTGTGTTATTTTAGTGTTTTTATTCATTTAGGTTTCTCAGGTTTTGCAAAGGCCACACAGTGGTCTAGAAGTTAGCATGTCTGCTTCACATTCGAGGGGTTCTGGGTTTGAATCCCGGCTACCTCCTGTGTAGAGTTGGCAAGTTTTCTCTGTGCTCGTGCGCTCTCCAGGGACTCGTCAGAATTTGTATTACGTTGTTGCCAATGATTTACAATGTCACTCATTAAAATGCTGTTGCAGTATTTTTGTTTGTTTGTTTGTTTGTTTTCTCGTCACTCCGAATGCCACTTTTGTGTTCCTGCAGGTTGCGAGAGTGACTTCTGGGGACCTCATTGCAGCAATCGCTGTCAGTGTCAAAATGGGGCAAAGTGCAATCCCATCACAGGGGCATGTGTTTGCACCGATGGCTACCAAGGGTGGCGCTGTGAGGAGCTCTGTGAGCCGGGTTACTACGGGAAGGCTTGCCAACTGCCATGCCAGTGTCTCAATGGAGCCAGCTGCGACCACGAAACTGGAGAGTGCATCTGCGCACCGGGCTACACGGGCGCTTTGTGAGTAGCGATGAGCATTGGACGCCGTCTGTGACTTCAGTTGAAATTTGCACCAGTTTGTCTGACTGTTGTCTTATGTGATGGTAGCTGTGGAGAACGCTGCCCCTATGGCAGTCACGGGCTGCAGTGTGAGCAAGGCTGCCCCTGTCAGAATGGAGGCACGTGCCACCACATCACTGGGGATTGTTTCTGCCGTGCAGGGTGGACGGTAGGTCCTTTGAGTCAACTTGGAAAAATATTCATCAATCATGTGCAGTGTGTGCATTTTCATTTTCGTGCTGGTTCAAATGTAGTTTACTGTGTTTGGGAATTTTTCTTGACGTACCGGCGGAACGAGGGCCTTAGACCAGATAAAAGTAGGTTTAAGGTGTGACATGGGAGTGGATTTTCACTCCCGTCCCGTTCTAGTCCCGGACCATGGTAAAACTTCTCCCGCTCCCGGCTTGCTTCTGTTCAGAATGACTCCCACTTTTGTTCCACTCTCATTTTGGAGGTCAGCTACATTAAAAATGACTGCACATCTGTCCGCGTGTTTTTTCCTACTGAATGATCCCGCTCCTGCCTTCTCCCGTGAACTTTTTATGCTAAACCCTCCCTATCCCTTGATTAAAGGTAAAGTAGACTCCCATTCCGCAGGATTCCGAAAAATTGTCAACCTCGAGTTCTCCCTGAGTGGTGGTGTGAATGTGAGCGTAAATGCTTGTCTGTCTCTCTCTTGTGATCCTGTGATCCAATGTCGACGAGTCCAGGGTATATTCCGCCTTTTACCCAAAGTCAGATGAGCTAGGCTCCAGCGCCCCACATCTTTACAAAGGCATTGTACAATTTTATTTCAAAATTCTTTTTTTTTTTTTTTTTTTTTTTTTTTTGTATGTATGCAATCTACTGTTTGCGATAGATGCCGCCTACAGTATGCAAGAGTAATCGTTTCAGATGGTCTTTTGGCCCAACATCCATATCGCTTCCCATATAACTGAACATTTCCCATACTAACAGGCCTTCCCAGCGCCCTCTTTCCCTCTCGGTTAGTGAGGAGGCTGCGGGTCCCACTGCCCTATAGTCAATCCCCTGCCACTTCCAGTTATTAAACACCAGCTTGTGCTGGATATTCACACTGAGCAAGGGGCAGGCCCATTTCTGTAGATCACTTGCCTGACATGCCCCACATTGCAATACAACCATGCCACACTATCATGTGCCCTAGATGAATTCCCCAGGAGGGATAATTATTTTTAACACTCGTAGAACTTTACATAACTTGAAATGTTACATCAACTTGCCAAGGGACGACAGATGGAAACGTATGCCTATAATCTGTCATTATAACACGCAAATGTTCATTAATACGCACTGTTTTTAGATGTATAATTGAACAGAATAAGCGCTATAGAAATTGGAAGGATGGCTGTTTAAACAGTATTACCACTGCCTTTCTTTTTGGAGACATCACATGATTCTATGGGGTGTATGGCATTTCCAAATACCTGTATGATTTAAAAAAATTTCCCCCCTAAAGGATTACTAAACATCAACTTGTGTATCTTTTACAGCTAAATTATTATGAGGAAAAAGAACAGGAACAGTCTGATCATAATAATAATGTACAGACTAAATAGCATATTAATCATATGCAATATGAATATTGAATAATATATGACAGGCTGTGAACCAACGGTGTTCACCTTCATCTTCCAATGTTATATTAATTTTAATTTTCTTGGTGTGGATCACAATAAAAGCTCGACGCACTGCACTTTAAATGAATTATGTACCAATACAGTTCTGGCGACACATTACAGCACTCGTCCCTGACAAGGTACAGTAACATCAATTAGGGTCAGCAAAATCATCAATCCTGATGAAAAGATCATCATTTAGTCTGTGGATCATTCCAACTCAGCAAATTTCATCAAATCATTTTAAATAATGCCACCTAGTCACGAATAAACCTTGTCACAGTTGACATTGTTTCACTGATCATTGAAGCATTCCAGCACTGGCATCTATCGAACCTGGCAGGCAATACAGAAAACCAATTATGAAGAATTTAGATGCAAATGAACATATCAAAAGTTCCACATTTTCAAATGCTTACATTTCCTCAAAGAGATAAATACGAAATAACACACATAAGAACCAAAGTAATCACCTCTGACTACGACAAATATGACTAGTCTCTCTAATCATGTATCTCATTTGGTTTCTGTTCTTCACAGGGTTCCGTTTGTGGCCAGCCGTGCCCAGTTGGCAAGTATGGCATCAACTGCAGTAAAGACTGTTCTTGTCGCAATGGCGGCCTGTGTGACCACATCACAGGGCAGTGCCAGTGTGCGGCCGGGTTCAGCGGTCGCAGGTAACACCACGACACCCCGAACGGCTTAATTTAACACACAAATGACAAAATGTGATGTTTAGTAGGTCCGCTTTGCATATAGGTCAGACAATGGGATAATATATTGATATTCTATGCAAAGAGTGACAATCACACACCCGTGTAAAGCCCCTCACTGATCTATTCTCTCCGTTGACTTCCTAATGAAGAACCAACCTGATATTTTAAAAGAGAACGGAAACGCTTGAATAAGTCCATTCTCAAGTGAAATAAGTTGTTAAAAAAAAACATTACGCCATTTCAAGGTGAGCTGGAAGCTTCCAATAGTGTTGTAAATGTTTAATTAATCTCGTATTTCATACAGAGCGGTCAGGATTTCATGTCTCCAGCCTTCATCTCCCTCTACTCCCAACTTGTCCATTGATCTCACGGTGGGCTACATGCTGTTTGGGCTCTGGTCATTAATTCTAAGTAATGGGTTTTTATTAAAGTCTCATTGAAATCCACACATCTTTTTAGTTCCCCGTGTCTGCCCAAGGAGCCCAGAGCAGCTTGGCTTTATTACTTCAGCTCAAGCAACCGTCTCACTAATAGAAACCTTGTCAGGGCCTTTATTTTACCTTTTTTTTTTTTTTTGCCAAACTGTGCTCATTCATTTTGTCAGTGATGAGCAAATTGACCTGCTAGGAATAGCCTGGCGCAGCCTAGCATAAAGAGACGTACAGTATGATGGTAGACATCCGCACACTTCTTTAAGTATGCCTGCCAGAGGTAAGAGTACTCTCAGTCACATAAATACGTAAGTCGAGGGGTTCGTAGGTTTTAGATGGATTTGCTCTACGTTCAGAATGGAAAAAAAGCAGAGGACGACTTCGTTTGAACACAGCTCTTCTCTCTTTTTTTTTATTTTTTCCACGGCTGCCTCCTAACTCTCCAACGAACACTCCCCCTTCCGGTAACGTCCCCTCCTTCCTGCCTTTCTTCACCAATCACATGCAAGCAACATAAGAATACTTCAGGAAGCATCAAACAGAATGCAACTAACATAAAAGAATACAATGCCCCAACATAAAATGACAATAATTAACAATTCAACAAAAGCTTACAAATACAAGCAGAAATTAAGTCTGAACTTGGAACCGACAAGTTTCAAGTGAAGTCACTATTTCATGAATAGTAGGAACATTTATTCACGCATTAGCCACTTTGTACTCAGTGTCTGTACCTGCGCTAGTTAGCTTTAGCGACACAGTCACATTTCACATTTTTAATCGTCCCAAACCAGTCTCCGCGTTGTCTATTCCTTTGGTTTGTCAATTAAATGCACAACGGACATGAAGCTAAGTTAATGCTTTACATTTTGTGGGTTTTTTTAATGATGAGTAATGTAAGATGTCAAACTTGTGTCTCTTATCTTTGAGTTACATATCTTGTAGCAATTCTCATTCCCCTTTGTGTCAAAAAATGATATATCCAAGTGTAACAATACACTTCAGTGCTCTTTTCATGACACCTTACAAATCAAATGAAATCTTCACAAATATAATTATACTCAGTTTTGATCAACACTGTCGGAGGGACAGTCATTTAAAAAGATGTCATTTGTAGTTGCACAGACCCTCATATTAGCTCGCTATTTGACGCTAAATGTGCAGCCCAGGAGTTATTATTAGGGAAGAGCACTTGATTACACTTCTACGTTCGCATTTACCTCTCCAATAGGGAAGCGCTCATGGTCAGGACTGATCATGGTTACAAAATCCAACCCCTGCAGAGACACCCAAGTACTAGCCGCTTCCTGCAGGGAGTTGCTTTGTACTACCCCCCCCCCCCACAATATAAATGAAACATTCATTCCTGTATTTAAATGTCGAAGCGACTGTTCATAAATTCCAGTTAAAGATTGATACCAACTCTGAGGGAGGAATAAACTAAACTTTTGCAACAAACAACAGGCTCGAGCTTTAATTTCCAATTTCTTATTCACGTTTCCTTTTAGGGCAAGTATGTTTTAAAATACTGTACAAAATGGTGGCAAGTTAAATCATCTGGCGGGCAATTTCTTGGCGAAGTGCTTTTAAAGTCATTTGTTGTGTTCTTAATATTTTGTTTCTATGCGATGATGTTATGGTAATACATCATATATTTGTGTCACTTTGGGACCCAGGCACAAAGCAAATTTTCGGATTGGTGTATTTAGCTGAAAAATTTGGAAAACTCCAATTTCAATATGGGGACTTATCGTCATTGGTCTTACAGTATTATAACACTCGTAAATGTATTCAAAGTTTTCTCATTTTACACGGCAACTTTCATATAAATGGCATCTGAAATGTGAGTGTAATTAAGGCTGTATCTCCGCTGTGTACAGGTGTCAGGATGACTGTCCCGTGGGCACCTATGGCCCTCAGTGTAATCAAAAGTGCGAGTGCCACAATGGAGCCAAGTGCCACCACATCAATGGAGCCTGTCTGTGTGAAACTGGTTTTAAAGGACCCAATTGCCAGGACAGATTCTGTCCCCCGGGCCTTTATGGCCTTATCTGTGACAAGTACTGCCCCTGTAATGCCACCAACACTGTGAGGTAAGCGAATGGCCTACAAATCCGGACTACCCTCACTGCAAATTCTGCCCTTTTTTTTTTTTTTGGAGGGTCTTAAGCACCCCTCATTCCGAAGTCTGAACACCTCTCGGCTGTGTCACCCAGTTAGCATTTCATTGTGACCTCCGCTTCATTCATAATTTCTCAGCATTCATAGTTAATGCCATGTTAATGCTCTGATTCGGGCTGCATAGAAGTCACCACAAAGTGAAGGGGAAAGGAGACATCTCCTTCATTTCAAAGAAGCGTGCGCGCACACACACACACACACACACACACACACACACACACACTCACTAGAGCTGCACTGTGCTGATACTGTGCTTCTGTAGTCGTACTCCTAAAAATGCTCTGATACTATGACAGCTGATAGAATTTTTACCCGCCTCTCATACATGGTACTATTGTGTCCTTGCTGAGCATGCGGCGTGCAATTTGGCGGAACATAGAACGTTTCTTCAAAATAAGTCAACGTTGTACTTGGTTCAAGCTTTTTATCGACACTCCCAGTTCAAGTTTACAATCAAACAAACACAAAATAAAATGAATGACATGTAAATTTGAGCAACACCGAAAGACCGATTAACAAATCACATCAATGTTGCAGTACAAACCTTTAAATGATGAATATTCTAACACAAACAGCGCAGTAGCAAACACCAAAAAGATGATATAGCGATACTCACAGACCAGTGTTCCCTCAAAGTTGCGCGTATGAGCAACTGCGCACTTCTCTCACTCTCTCAGCGCACCCAATGACGCTGGCGCCCGCCACACACACTCATTACATTTCTGCACTCATTCCTTTATTCTCACCCCAGTTTAGTCTACAAACAGGACACCACACCATTCCCACTTCCCTTACAGTTTCAGTAGCGTGACCGAAGGTGCAGTTGTTCCATTGTAGTTTACTTTTAAGCATACGTTGACATACGTACACTCAGATTGAACATTGACGAGATGCTACAGTCGACCGCTCCATTCATGAAAGGAAAACATGGACACAGAGCCCCTTAAATTAGGCTCTTTTGACATTTCAGGGATCAGGGGACTAAAATAATTTTGTGCTTTATTAAATGACGTTTTCCACAAACTCGCACGCACATTTTTATGAGCTCATTTCTATTGTTGCATTTTAGTCTCATCTATTCTTCTCGTTATACTTGAAGCTGCCACCCTCTTTCTGGAGAGTGCACCTGCACTGCGGGTTGGACCGGGATTTACTGTAATGAGACCTGCCCGCCAGGCTACTATGGGGAAGGCTGCATGTTGCCATGTAGCTGCACCAATGGAGCTGACTGCCACCCAATCGCTGGTACCTGCATGTGTGCGCCAGGCTTTATGGTGAGTCTCCGTGTGTGTTTCTGCATCATGAGGTTTTGGATTCAAATGATATGAAAAGTTAAGCACTCTGTTGCTTTTATAATTAAGCAACAGGAGCTTCACTGTCGCTGTGTCGACTCCTTCGGCAAATGTAGCCGTATATCCTATAATGACACGCTTGAAGCATATACAGTTTTGAACATGTTTTTTTGCCCATAGTTGTCAGTGGTGAGGTGATTACAATCCATACATTCATTTTTTAGCTCTTGGCAGTTATTTTCTTAGGTTCGCAGGTGAGCTGGAACCCACCCCAAGTGCTATTATCCAAGAGGCGGGGTACATGGCCGCCGGTCAATCATTGCAGCACATGTATAGGAAAACTAGAAACGTGCATGTTTTCGCTCTGTGTGTGTGTGTGGGGGGGGAGGGTCGGGGGGCTGAAGTCCCAGCAGAAAACAATATGTGAGCTCTACACAGAAGACCAAAGCCAAGATTCGAACTGAAAACATCATAACCCTGAAGCGGTGTGTTTTCATTTGAAAAACTGTTAGGCTATCCTTTCCTATAAGTATTATGATACCACTTTATTCATAATTCATATTAACTACACTGTATTCATGATAAAAACTACTCGGTGGGGAATAAATAAAATTAGCGGGGTGTTTTTAAGGCAAATTATTTGCATAGAATTCAGTAATAAGACCAAAAAAAAAAAAAAAAAAAAAAAAAAACCCCCCCCAAACAAGCAAATTGGTTTGAGTTACACTGAAAGAAAACAGAAAATGACGCGTTCTTAATTAACCCACAATTTCCGACTAATTGGAATTCATTTCATTATGCAAAATGCTATTCCAATCTTATGGGAACAGACTATCGCTGTTCAGCCGGTGACCAAAAATTTCTCACATCACATCCTGTTTTCGTTGAATCATCATGGCAATTGTGAGCGTTGACTTGGTAATTATGCTGTCGTTGGCGTTCGTATTTCATTTCCTGACTGTTTTGTCCTTGCTCGTTGGAGTCTTCACCGAGGAAAGGAAGGAGGCAAAAGAACAATATCCATTTTTCATACTAAAATATTTTTCATCACTTTTCCCTCTCCCGAAAGTGAATCTTTTTCTTTTGCATCATCTCGGTTTTAATCTTGCGTTTTGTCTGGTTTGAATTGAGTGCTTCGTGTGCCTTCTCTTGGACTGTCAGAGAAGTGAAAACAACAAGCTGTACTCTCGCACCAAATGCAATCCCCGCCGTATACGCGCGGCCACGTTGTCGCTCCCGTTTGCAACTCTAATTATTTGTACAACTTCAGTCACGTGTTCCTAATCTGAAGTTACACGGCAAGTCTGACCAGGAGAGCGCATTGCGGGCAACGTAATATTTCAGTAGAAATTGCCTTTGTCTTGGAGCGGGGGCCTCTTTGGCGAATTGAGCCACCGAGCGAGGCCACAGACTGTGTCTTAATTTGCTCCACCTGTTCTTCCGCGCCGGGGAGGTCTGCCAGATCCATTAAACAGACCTTGAGGGCAGGCGTCGGATGGGAACAGACGCACTACATATGGAGGAGCGGTGTGCGCGCGTGTAGAAAAAAATCTGGAACAGTCATGTTTTTTTTTTTCCGAGAGACCTTTAACAAAAATAGCACCCAACGCAGAGGCTCTGTGGCCGCCATGTCTGTTAGCATGTAACCTTTTGTCACACGGCGCCCGATCATTATCACACTCGGTGCTTTTAAAAAGTGCTTGATGATGGCGTCGGGGCTGCATTTGTCGCTGAAATGGCTTCCCCGGGTCATCGCCGATGGGGCCCAAGTCTCCCCGCTGCATCTTTGTTCTGCAGCCCCATCGGGGAGCAAAGCGAGCAAAGTCGACTGAGCTCCCGCATGCTTGATTTAACTCTGGTAATTGGACATGCTCCTTTTGACTGGGACAAAGTAATCACATGTTACCTATTTGGGCAGTGTCTTCGCCTTACATACGGAGTCACATAACAATATACTGTATGCGCAATGTTGCTCCTATCTGCATTCAGTTGGCGCTGCTGAATGTGAATGATGTGCGCATTAGCAAGTCTGAGATGGATTCCATTCGGCCTTTGTTGGTGGCGAAAAGAAATGATTTTTTTCGTCTCTCAGGGCTTTCCAACCTCATCAAAAGGTTCACAGGTTCATTTTCTGTCTTGCCGCATGAATTTTAAGACGCGCCTGCTCTTCGGGTTGTTAGATGAACTGTTAAGGAGTGAGACTGATTGGTAATTATCAGCGTCATTTACATCCAATCTCAAAGGGGTACCGAGCAGATCAATGTTGTGTCAGCGAGTGGCATTCGGGATGAAAAAGCGCTTCAATTACACGATGATGCCAAGGAGTGGAGGCCAAGGACGCCCTAGTTTTGTAGCTTCGACTCTTCACCTCGCTGACGAGCTTCTTACGTAAGGTCCTGCGACTCCCTGGCAGGGCGGACTGACAGCCCGGTATTTTAATAATGACTCTCCACATGCATGCTTTATTCCTTCAACGGCTCAAAAGGAATATGAATCAGACGATAATGAGGGAGTTTGTCCCTTGAGAGCGGCCCAACCTCAGGTCTGTGCTTCGTGTGAAGCAGCAAAAATCAACATGGTCATTTGTGGCGCTTGAGTCGAGTCCAGCGGTCATTTAAGCAGCACCCCTACCAGTTGATATCCTCCCTACACTGGGGGAAAAAAAAAAAAAAAAAGCACAACAGATCTGCTTTTCTTCGCAGTCCTGACGCTGTCATTTTCGGTAGAACAAAGGTTTATTGCAGCCGATTGATCAAAATTTCATCGGCAGACAGGGGCTTTTATGTGTCGCGCTGGGGGGAGGAGAGCCGTTTTAAGATCCGCCTTCCGCCCTTGCTCTCCACCAGCACATCTCCTGCCTTCTGTTTAAACAGAGATCACAATGATAAGGAGAGCAGTGAGCGACCAGCGGTTCCCCCAGCGGTCGAGTGAGAGGGGCTCCTGTGAGCCCCTAATTGGAACTCTAAATCGTTGTGTCACCTGTCACTCAAGCTTCAATATGCAATGGGAGGATATGTGTGTGTGTGTGTGGGTGGGGAGCTTCGCCTGGCTGCAATCTCCATTTTATAAGGACGGACAAGACAGGTGCAGTTAGTGCTCAGCCTTTAAAGCAGAGACATTCAAATGACAGCAGGTTATGGAGGACATAGTGGGCAACACAGTGTGTCCTTCCCCAGATGTAATAATCAGGGGCTTAAAGGCTGCACCGCAGTGGCCAGCAGCCTCCCATCGCTGGGATTTTTCTTAACATGAGATCTTGAGTCTGCGACTGATATGTGATATCCCCGACATTCCACTGACCACCCAGTGGTTGGATTAAGACCCCTTTTCACCCCCAGTGACAACCAAGCCCAAAACATGAGCATCCAGCAGAGGGTGAAGCAAATTCTGAGTAACTCTCCATTGCACCGTCTGCACGGCGTCCTGATAAATTCCTTCAATCCTACCCCAGCACTTACGCGCGTGACCCCCAACAGACAATAGGAGTCATAATTGGGGGACAAGGACATGACCCTCGAAGCCATTACCGTTTGCTAGGATGCAGAACCAAGCTAGAAAATTGAGCCCTGGTCTCTATGGCAACTGAATCCCAGTGGGTATCGGTTCCTTATAACAAACTGTTCATAGAACCAAAACCTAATTTACACCACAATGGTAAAATGCATTTTTTAAAAACGTAATTAGCAGTTTACATGACTAATAAATAATGACAAAGAAATGTACATTTTATATCAACTGTATATGATATTTTTCATTTTATTTTCAACCACATATTTGCTGTTTCACTTGAAATCGTTTTTAATGTGAACGATTTTGTTTGTCAGATTTAGAATATGCAGAATGCAACGTAGCTTTCAAAGACCAGAATCCTTTTTGAGATTAAATGATATATTTTTGTGATACATCACAATTATACAGACATACATTGTAAACATATGTGGCTGTTTCTTAGCCTGAGAAACATTACTCTTGTTGTCTTAATGAGAGTATGTATCAGGCACACTCACTATTCACAATATTACTGAACATGTTATAATATTGACAGCAAGCGAGTGGCATCAAAATTCTCCCTTTGCAATCATAATAATAACAAAGTTGGAATTGACAGAGCGATAGTAACTTTGCAAAGTGAAAAGCAGAATCGGTAATGCTAATTATCAAAATGTAAACGGTCAGCCAGAGACAACATTATTTGCTGTGCTGATGAGTTCTCTCTTGCCTGTCTGTTAATTCCATCACAGGGTGAAGACTGTGCCACCGATTGTCCTCTTGGTTTGTTTGGACCAAGCTGCATGTCCACCTGCTCGTGCCATAACCACGCTTCCTGCTCACCTGTCGACGGATCCTGCATGTGCAGGGAAGGTACGGCCCAAGTAGCGTAATATCTTTCCACTTCAACCAGTGATCCTCTAATGAAGCACTCTTGAGGCCTCCTGCCGAAGAGCAACGGTTAACTTCACGTCGTAAGTGGTGAGCCGCTCTCAAAGGAATTGCGCTTTCCTTCAGGCATTCGTCAAGGAGTTGAGGCTTCTGCAGCCCTTTGCTGTGTGGCCCATATGACAGGTTATGTCTAATGAGGACTCCAAGGAATGTGGACGTCTCATCATTCTTATCAATGAGGAGGGTCCGTGGTTCACTCCCATGAGGCACTGAGGGAGAAGTTCTGGTCCAAGATTCTGAGCTGATCGGAGAGCTGAGTCTTGTTATGGTGACGGGATCATGCGTTGCAGTGCTCGCGAAATGGAGCATGAAGAAGACATCACCGAAATGGAGCATGAAGAAGACATCACCGAAATGTCAATACGGCGGAGCCCCAGTTTTTGTTTTTCATCCATTCCATTCCAGTCTTGCGAAAGTAGGATCTAATGAAAGCCAAAGCAATATTTCCTATAAGAAATAATTGAAACCCAAATAATCTGTTCCAGAATCCATCCATCCATCCATTTTCTGATCCGCTTATCCTCACAAGGGTCGCGGGGCGTGCTGGAGCCTATCCCAGCTGTCTTGGTGCAGTAGGCCGGCTATGCCCTGAACTGGTTGCTAGCCAATCGCAGAGCACACATAGATGAACAACCATCCACTTTTAGTTGTACTGTCTGAAAAGGTCTTTCGAGGCGGCAAAGTGTATTGCACGATTCAAGATTTTACTAACAACTCTTATTGCAATAAATACTTCCGATCTATTCAGCAAGACTGCGCAAAATTTATGTTACATATCTTGCCAAAAGTCCAGCCTTTAAAATAAAAGCATTCCAGTATAATAACAGTTATACAACATTTTTTGTTAGCAGTCTTCATTGAGTGTGACTGCTAGAAAAGACTTCATGTGGCCAAATAAAGTGTGGTGAAACTGTTATTGGAAGACCAGCTTTTACTTTGAAGGTCGGACTTTTGAGAGGATGTGTTGCTAAGCAGGCCGCGAGAATTATTGCCTTGAGTTGTTGATAAAATCTTCCATTGTTGAATGCCATTTTTTCATCTTTTGAACCCTTTTAACAAAACCTATTACCGGTAAATTATTTGGATGAACATGCTTCGATTCCGGGAAATGGAATCTCTGCAGTACGTTTTTAAAAAAAAAAAAATTCTACAACCCAAAATATAGACAAAAACATTTGTCGAAAACAGAATCTTATGAAAACTAGGGAATACAAAAACCAACCACTGTCTCTTTTTGAAGAGTTATTTTCAGATCACCTTTCCCTGTTCGTTCCTATCACTAGTCCTTGCTGACCTCACCTCACGCTCTGCCTGCCACTTTTGCCCATTATTTCTCTTGCTTTATCAGACCAAAATATAAAGGTATGCAAATCAAGCAGTGTCCTCGGTCGAAGGCCTCCACACCAACAGAATGCTTATTTTCTAACGGCTCTACAACCTCGTTGTTAGAATTGGCTGAAATGTCGCAGTGAATTTTTGCTGCCCCTCCATGCGTTTGTAATATACTCCATGGGGCCAACGACTGCACCGCAATGCAGAAATGTGTATACTGGAGCCAGTACATAGGGAAGTACAATTGCACTTATTCAGGTCATATTTGTGTCAGGCCTTGTGATATTGGTAAATTCACATTAGAGGAAAAAAAAAAGCAGAGATTCAATAAAAAGTCAATAAACATTGTCTCCAGGGCCCTGTCATCGTGGAACTTTGCGAGTTTCTTGAGATAAAAAGGTGCTCAAGGCTCTTGTTGTCATGACACCTTCCTTGTCACTTTTTTTTTTTTTTTTTTTTTTTTTTTGCATCGCGCACTCAGATTGTGAACGCTCGCCTCCATCCATCACCGCACTGGCAAGAGAGGAAGGAATCGATGCCCCGCTGTTAGACTTTGACACAGCCAGTGAGAAGAATGATTGAGTCAACAAGAAGGGACTTTCCTCACTGTTTAACAGGCTCAATTGGACTGTACGATCGATTGCACTCCTCCGTGTCCGCATATCTGCCGCGGTCAATAATGTACAGTATTATGCACAAGAGAGGAGAGTGGATGCATCCCCTCGGGGGGAGCCGGCAGGTGTTTCAGACAGCTCTCCAAATTGTCCATTTCATATCGCTGCATGTGTCCCGCTACACGTGAGAACATCAAAGCGAGCAAATCAGATCGCAGGCAGATGGAATTGTGTCGTGAAAGACTTACAGAAAGGATTACTTGATCATTTGCTTGTTACACAACTTTTTTTTTTTTTTTTTTTTTTTTTACTTTTTGTTTTTAGCAGTGTTTGGTGCTTCTCATTATCCACCCAGTTTGGTCTACTACTTCTATTTTTTCCTCTTTTCTTTTTTTTTTTTGTAATTCAATCTGCCGGTCGATATGTCTGAGAGGTGGAAAATGATTGCATTCATTTTAAATGGATAGAATGACTGAATGTGAGATGTGGCTTGTTATATTTCTCATTTATTTATACTTGTATACCGCCCCTGGCGGAGGCTAGAATATTGCATCTTATTCCGACGGAGTCCCATCACTCTACTTTGAAAAGCACTGTACCGTGGTAGGAGAAGGAAAAGGAGAGCCGCAGTTGCCAAGGAACCAAGATTGTTTTGACTAAAACGTAATTATTATCCATAATATCCTGTACTGTGTTTTAATGTGTCTCTGCTCCATCTGACTCCAGGCTGGCAGGGTGTGGACTGCTCCATCCTGTGCTCCAGTGGTCTCTGGGGTCTTGGCTGTAATCAGTCTTGTTTGTGCGCCAACGGTGCTGCTTGTGACCCAGTTGATGGCACCTGTACATGCTCTCCAGGCTGGAAGGGCGAGCACTGTAGTGAGCCCTGCCCTGTAAGTTTGAAAGTAAACTCAGAGGATATTGCAAATCTCCTCCTGACCTTGAACCCAGCATGGTGTTAAATTGTTGCACATGGCTTAAGAGTGAGCTGCGCTTTTTTTTTTTTCGTTTGTCAGGATGGCACTTTTGGGCTGGAGTGCAGGGAGCGCTGTGACTGCAGTCATGCGGACAGCTGCGACCCAGTAAGTGGTTACTGCCACTGCCACCCAGGCTGGACAGGTTGGTACTTATTCTTGTATAATTTGGGGAGGAAAATTATCACTCCCTCTGAGAAGATGAATATTCATTTTCTAGCCTCAAAGCTGAAAGTCAGCAGAAGCTAGACAGACATCAAATTACCAAAGACAAATACGGTTTGAGTTGTAAAGCATGTTTACACTCTATGTCTACGATGTGGTGCGTTAATTAAATGTCCCATTTGTTTTTGCCACTCAGCCAGCAGGTCACGCGCATGAGAGATGTTGAGAAATAAGCCCTAAATTAGCGCCCCAACTCTCAAACTAGCTGGATAGCAATGGTGTTGTATTACATCGACGGAACCTGTTGACCCCCCCAGCAGATGAATAATTTGAGGTGGAATCTATCCAACCCAAAATATGCCGACAGAATTATTTGATCAGAGTTTTCCAGCCTGTGGAGCAAAGGAGCATAGTTTGCATCAGAAAAGCCGCATGGTCAAGCACCAAACAAACAAATAAACAAAACAAAGTATGCATACTGAAATAATCCTTTCCCAGTTGAGGTGCAGAGTTCAATTCCGGCCTTCCTGTGTAGAGTTTGCATGTTCACCCGGTGCCTGTGTGGGTTTTCTCCGGATACTCCGGTTTCCTCCCACATTCCAAAAACATGCATTGCAGGTCAATTAATCACTTTAAATCAGGGGCGTCAAACTCATTTTTGTCACGGGCCACTTTTGTGTGACGTCTTCCCCCGCAGGGCCGTTATGACAGTGAAACCACCAAAATGTTTAATCGCATTATCGCATTATTACTTGTAAGGGTAACAAAATTATTGCAAAATCGCAACATCATTTATTACACATGATAATTTTACATTTTCTATCTTTTTTTTTTTTTTTTTAGCAAGGATCATGCAAGTTGACACACATGATTTTCTTTCAGGGGGCCACATAAAATGATCTGGCCCCCGGGCCTTGTGTTTGACACGTGCTCTAAATTGTCCAAAGGTGTGAGTATGAGCGCGAATGGTTGTCAGTCGATGTGTGTCCTGCGATTGGCTGGCAGCTAGTTCAGGGTGTCCCCCGACTACTACCCAAAGACAGCTCTGATAGGCTCCAGCGCACCCGCAACCGTCGTGAGGATAAGCGGATTAGAACATGGAGAGGGAGAGAGAGAGAGAGAGAGAGAGAGAGAGAGAGAGAGAGAGAGAGAGAGAGAGAGAGAGCGAGAGAG